TGTCCCCCCCTAAAAAAAAGGGAGCTGGAATTGCGACAGAAATTGCATTAAATCTATAGATGAATTTGGAGAGAACTGCCATCCTAATGATATTGAGCCTGCCAACTCATGAACATGGAAAGTTTCTCTATTCATTTACATCTCTTTACATTTCTTTCAATAATGTTTTATAGTTTTCAGTGTGCAAGTTTTGTATTTATTTTGTTAAATCCATTCCTAAGCATTTTACTCTTTTTGAAGCTATTATGGAATTTTTTTCTTTATTCAGTTTTGGACTGCTCATCTTTTATTAGTAGAAATACAATGGATTTTGCGTATTAACTTTTTTTCAAGATTTCATTTATTTATTTTTAAAGAGAGGGGGAGAGAGGAAGAGAGAGAGAGAGAAACATTGAGGTGTAATGATTGATTGCCTCTCGCATGCCACCAAGTGGGGACCTGGCCCGCAATCCAGGCATCTGCCCTGACTGGGAATCAAACTGGCGACCTTTGGAGTCCCAGGCTGGCACTCAATCCACTGAGCCACACCAGCCAGGACTAAATTTTGTGTATTAATCTTGACTTTGCTGAATTTATTAGTTTTAGTAGTTTTTTTGTGTATTGCTTAAGATTTTTAAATATATATCTTCTTATATAAAGACAGTTTTACTTTTTCCTTTCAATTTGTATTCCTGTTATTTTTGTTACTTTTTTTTTCTTGCTTTTTTGCATTTCCAGTGCAACTGTACCTCTAGTACAATGTTAAATAAAAGTGGTGGAAGCAGAAATCCTTGCCTTGTTCCCAATTTTAGGGAAATATATTGTTTTTCATTAAGTATGTTTTCAAACATTAAGTATGATTTTAGTTATAGGTTTTTCACAGTTGGCTTTTATCAGGTTGAGAAAGTTCCCTATTATTTCTAGCTTTATCACAAAAATGGGTGTTGGATGTTATAAGTGCTTTCCTATCTTTATTAAGATGATCGTATATATGGGTTTGACCTTTAGTAATATGATAAATTAATTGATTTTTGGATGCTAAACCAACCCTGTATTCCTGGGATAAATTCTGATTTGTCTGGTTTGGTATTAGAGTAATACTATCCTCACAAAATGAGTTGGGAAGTGTTCTCTCCTTTATTTTCTGGAAGTTTGTGAAAGACTGTGGGATGATTTTTAATATTACCAATTCAATTTCTTTATTTGCTATAGGTCTGTAGGTCTACAAATTTTCTATTTATTTTTGGGTCAGTTTAATGTGTAAGTCTCTAGGTATTTGTTTATCTACGTTGTCTAATTCGTTACCACAGAGTTATTCATTGAATTCCCTTAAAATCCTTTTAGTCTCCATGAAGTTGGTAATGATGTCCTCTCTTTCGTTTTTAAGTATGACTGAATGTTGAATTTTATTCCTCGATTGAAACAATCATACACACTTATCTATTTAATCTGTTAATGTGATAAATCATAACAATAGAATTTCTATTGATAAATCATTTTTAATTACTTGAATAAAGCCAACTTGTTCATGATATTTGGATTAATATCTTACAGAACTCAATTTCCTTTTATTTAGAATATTTTATGTCTACATTCATATTACAAACTGAACTTTCTTTCTTTTTTTCTTCTAATATTATTTTTGTTGAGTGTAGGTATCAAGGTCATACTAGCTCCATACATGAGGTAAAGAGAATTCCCTTTTTCTGAACAGCTTAATAAAATTGGAATGTTCTGTGTTTTTATAATATTTCACATAAGTCACCTGTATTTATTTATTTATTTATTCATTTTTAGAGGAAGGGAAAGGGAGGGAGAAAGAGGAGAGAAACATCGATGTGCAAGAGATACATCAACACCCCCAAATGAGGACCTGGCCTACAACCAGGCATGTGCCGTGGCTGGGAATCAAACTGGCAACCTTTTGGTTTGCAGGCAGGCACTCAATCCACTGAGCCACAGCAGCCAAGGCCAGGCTGGCTTTTTCACTAGTAGATAGGTTCTAACTGATTTTTTCCATTTTTCCATTAATGACTATGGCAGAGGTGATATTAAGAATACTGAAATAACCAACACTGCATGAAAACTAGCCAGTAAAACTGATGTTGATGGCAGTGCTAGAACTGTGTCCTGGATTTACTTTATTGTCTAAGGGGGACTTCAGCTACTAGACTGCAAGGGAGATACCCCTAGAAGAGGGGCCTGGGTTGACAGAGAGTGCCAGGATATGACATGTGGGGATGATTCAGGGTAGTGGCTGTTCATCGATTATTATAGAAGTTCAATTTTTAACAACCACTTTAGCTCAGCTAGTGCACATTGGTTAAGTATCAGTCCTGGTAATAGTTTTGTTTCAGGTTTTCTATTTCTTCCTTGGTCAGTTTTGCTGAGGTTTATTTTTTGAGTAAACTATGTCATCAGTTTTCAAATATAATGACATCAAGTTGATCTTATTATCTTATTCTATATTTTATTTTTTATTGTTTCCTTTTTCATTGCTAAGATTTCTTTATTTGTGTCTTCTTTTTTTCTCCTGATGAACCTTACCAGAAAACTGTATATTTAATTAGCTTTTTCAAAGAGCAGGCTATTAAAAAATCTTTATTATATTTTCATTTTCAATGTCATTAATTTCTGCTTTCATTTTTATCATTTCCATACATCTACTTTCATCAAGTTTACCCTTTTTTATCTTATTCCAGTTTTTTTCCATCAATTTATGGATTTATTCGGGTTAACAAGCATCTTCTTTTAAGGATGTACCATTCCTGACAGGCAGTTTTTTTTAGTATGACGCTTAGCTCATTAATTTTCAATCTATCTTCTGAATTAACTATGATTTCTTCTTTGTTCCATGAACTATTTAGCAAGTGAATTTATAAGTTTCCAAACATGGGAATTTTTATTCACTTGTGTAATTAAACTATACTGAAGTCTGGGGAAGTGGTTTGTGTAATAACAGTTCTTTGATACTGATTGACATTTACTTTGTAGTTCAGTACATGCTCATTTTTGTACTGTTTGTTTCAGAGGATGTTTTCACTATATGTTGGAGCACAATTCTAAATATGCTTAATAGATCAAGCTTATTAATAAGCTATTAAAAATCTTATATAGCCTTTACTAATTTTTGGTCTGTTTTATCTATTACTAAACAAAAAAGTGGTGTTAACATTTTCCACTAAGATAGGAATTCCGACCTTTTTCTTCTAATTCTGTCCATTTTTGCTTTTTATTGTTTGAGGATGTTTTCACTATATGTTGGAGCACAATTCTAAATATGCCTAATAGATCAAGCTTATAATAAGCTATTAAAAATCTTATATAGCCTTTACTAATTTTTGGTCTGTTTTATCTATTACTAAACAAAAAAGTGGTGTTAACATTTTCCACTAAGATAGGAATTCCGACCTTTTTCTTCTAATTCTGTCCATTTTTGCTTTTTATTGTTTGAGGCTATGTTATTAGGTACATACATGATAAGAATTCTTTTATATCCTACTAAAATAATCCTTTTAATATAGTTCATTTTTATTACTAATAATGCTTAATGCCTTAAACTCTCTATTTTGTCTGCTATTAATATAGATACAATTGTTTTTCTTTTGGCTTGTATTTGCCTGTTATTTTTTCCCATGATTTTACTTTCAAACTTTGTGTTTGTATATTTTGGGTATATCCCTTACAAAAAACCAGATAGCTGTGTTTTGTTCTATAATCCAAACTAACATTATCTTTTAATTGACTAGTTTAGTCCATACACATTTACTGATTATTAATATTTATATTACCTGCCTACCATATTTTGTGCTTCCTAACTTACCTGTTTTTTAATAAAAGATTTTCCCCCATCTTCTTTGCCTCTATTGGACTGATCATGTTTATTCTTCTACTAATTTGGAAGCTATCATTTATATTCCTGTTCAAATTTTATTTCAAAAATTAAAAATACATTTCTAAGTTTTAACAGGTATATTTGTCTTAGTCTAAAGATAATCAGTAGCTTTATCCTCTGCTCTAAGAACATGCATAGACAGAAATCTTTAAGAATATCCCCTCTCTTTTTACATATGACCTCTGAAAGGAGTATTTCAGAAATGATCCTGGTATATTACTATATTGTTATTTCACCATAGCTAGCAACAGATATATTTTAATTCTCAAATTTCAACTCTTAAATAATCAATTTCTCTATAAGGAGGCATTTTATTAAAGTATGCTCAGCCCTGGCTGGTGTGGCTCAGTGGATTGAGCGCCAGCCCAGGAACTGAAAGGTTGCTGGTTGATTCCCAGTCAGAGCACATGCCTGGGTTGTGGGCCAGATCCCCAGCTGGGGATTTGCAAGAGGGGGCTGATGTTTCTCTTCCTCTCTTCCTCTCTCCCTTCCCCTCTCTCTAAAAAAATACATAAAATCTTAAGAAAAACTTGTAAAGTGTTTCACAACAGATGAATTACTGACATTTTAGGTGAGACAACTGGTCCGCTGTGCAAACTGTCCCATGCACTGCAGGATGTTTAAAAACTCCTCCTCCTCTCTTCTCCCACAGTGACAACTAAAACTGTACCACACATTATTTGCAAACACTCTCCAAGGAATCAGTACCACTCCAACAGAGAAACTAACTACTCTTTCAACACTTGAAAACACAGTACAAAAAAAATGATAAAATAAATAGATTTATAGAATTGAAGAACCAACAAGTGAAAAATACTTCAGTTCTACAAAGGAAATAACAAAAATATTTTTTCTTAAATTCCTTCAGTTCAGGAAACTCATCTTATAAACCATTTTTCATCATTAAGTATGTTACTTGGTCTCCTTTCTATATAATTTTCTCCAATTTTTTTAGTTGTAATATATGACTAAATGCAAGTAACAAAAGAATCACTTTTTGATTGTTTTTCACAAAACCTGTTTCTTTCTCCTAAAGAGATATAAAAACTAAGACAGAACACTGAATTTGTTTACCATCTTATAAAAATTTTGTTTATAATCCTAACATGATCTCCTATTCACAAACCTGTTGGTGTCCCAAATAATGACATTTCCATCAAATCCTGACGTTACTAAGAGTCTTGTATTAGTATCATATTCGATGTTCTTCACCCAGCTAGTGTGACCATGTAAAGTGCATACTTTGGTGTTCAATTTTCTCAGATCCCATAGTGCTATTGTAGTGTCATCAGAGCAGGTAGCAAACAGCCGGTTATCAAGAAATCTACAAAGCAGAAAAGAAAAACTGGTTTATTTAATCTCTTATTTAAGAAATCTTGAGAGACAGTTTCTCTATTACCTAATCAAAAAAATAAAAATAAACAAGGACCGCAAATTCACTGTATTAACCCAATGATTCTGATATATAATAAATAGAAGTATAATTTATATAATCACAAGGAAAGAAACTGATTTAATGAGGACCACACTGCAATCATATCCATTGGCTTTACAATATTGATTTTTATTTAGAACTGAAAATAGGGATAGGTATTTGGAGTACAGTGCTAAAGAGAAAGAAGAACTCTAAAATCAATATAAGGAAACACAAACGGTGCGAAACAATTTAATAGGAGACAGAGGATATTTTGAAGATTTGCTTGCCAAGGAAGATGTTAAATGTAAAGGGTTCAAAATTATAAGAAATGTTTACTCTGCTACAAGTAACATCTCTTTCTATTTATCACACATTTACACACAAAATTGATATTAAAATGCCATCATTTTCATCTATTAATTCAAACGCATTCCCCAAATAATCTCACTTAGCACCATTAGGACCAGTCAAGATTATAAGATAAACAATTAAAATACTCCATAATTTGAACTTTTAATTATTTCACACTAATTTTTTAATCCTTAGTGAGAATATATTTTATACAAATACTTAAAAAGTAACAGACCTAACAATCACACTTGATTTTCTGCCTAATTCAATACTAAGATGCTTTCTCTAACATATGCTGTTTAATATGATTCCTAAACTCTTGCAGAAGAAATGAATTCTGGAGCTTCTTACAAGATAAAATTATGTATTAATTATTTTCTATAAGAAATTAATCTCAATATCCACAATACCATAATGATCTCCCTGAAACTTAACACGGTTGTAAAATTTCAGGCCTTTGTTTAGGCTGTTTCTGCTACGTGAAACCACTTTCCTTCTACCCATTGACCTGGCTAAACTTTTCTTTTTAATATTCAGCTACTGTTCCCTGCCAGGAAGCCCCCTGTCTCTCTATCCAGCCTGGGGAAGATTTATGAATCTTCTAATCTTTCAAAGCATTCTATATATTTTTTTAACAAAGCTTAATATTACAGTGTACTTTACAAGGCTTTAAAATCTGCAAGGCTATAAAATCCCTGAGGGCAAGGGGAACATGTCTTCATAGTTCATGGCTAGATCTGCAGTATCCAACACACACAGTGCGAGGCAAATAATAAACACTCAGAAATATTTATTAAATGAATGAATGAGATAGGAGTTCATAGCCTGGTGGAAAAAGACATTATCAATACACATAAGTAATTAAAGAAAATAATTATGTGGAATAGCAAAGAAAAGAAAGTAGTTAGGAAAGACTTCATGATGGTGTCATTTGAACTGACTTTAAAAGATGACCGGGAACTCCTAAGAGGCATGTAAGGATGATGTACTCTGAGAGGCTGTTAGGAGTGCTGTGTATAAAAGGGTAGAGACAAGTAGAGAATATATCATAGATTTATTCTATAATAATTCCCAGTAATTATTTCTTAATTATAAATACATGTCCATTGAAAATATTTTTAATAAAAAAATCCACCACCAAAAATAATTGCTGTTCTTGTATTTCAAACCTAATATGATCTCATAAATATTTTGCCATGTCACTAAAGATTTATTGACAGAAATCATTCTTTAAAGAAAAAAAGACTTTATTTATTTATTTTTAGAGACAGGAGAATGGAGGGAGAAAGAGAGGGAGAGAGACATTAATGTGCAAGAGATACAGTGATCAGTTGTCTCTCGCATGCCCCCAACTGGGGACCTGGCCTGAAACCCAGGTATGTGCCCTGACTGGGATTTGAACCAGCAACCTTTTGGTTCACAAGCCAGCACTCAATCCACTGAACCATACCAGCCAGGGTTGGAAGATTCTATATCTTTTGTGTATTGCTATTCATTTATTACTGATTTTCCTTTGCAGTATTATTTTTTATTATTGAGCTATAAAATCTCTTTATAGTAACAAATATATACTTCAGTTTTTCCAATACAGTGTATTAAATATATTTTCCATATATATTTCTGTATTTCAATGTGGTTTATATGTGTTCTTATTATATCACAATTTTAATTATTATATTGTCAAATCTGTTTTTCCCCTTATAGTTTTACTGATGAGGCTTTTTAATGACTTCCATACATTACAGGAATTATATAATTGCAAAAAACATAATTAATACAAGGTAAATTTTTAACATAAATTGCTCATCATGATAAGAATATCTTTACAAATTTGAAAATTCAGGGGAAAAATATAACTAAGGCATTTTGTTTAGTAGAGAGGAAATACTTAATGCACATATGGATTAAAAAGTCTAGTGGGATTATACTACTGTAGGTCACTGTAGTCTACACTGAAGGGTTTAAGGCAAGAGAGTGACATGATTAAATAAAAACTTCAGAAAGGTCTCTGAGGTGGCTAGTTTCCAAAACTCTTGGATTTTCATAAAAAAATAAAATAAAATAAAGTGGGGCATCAGGTTTTAAGTTTTTCTCAATGAGCCTATTGAAAAAAATTACCATTGTTACATGAAAGCGTATTTTAATACCAACAATGTAGAAATCTAGAATATAATCTTAAAACAAAAGCCAATCACTTTGAATTGAACAAATTTACCTTAATGAGAAATTCAATACTTAGACCTTAGTTTTCTCATTTTTTGCCTCAAAGTATTACCTGTTAAAAATTTTAATATTAAAGAATCATTGGTAAAGAGAATAGATAAATTATAGAAAATTAGGAATGTAGACTAGGAGACCTATAAAAGCACCTGCAGTTCTTATTCCAAAGTAAGCAGATGCAGAGAATGTAAAGTTTAAGACAAGTTCTGGGGAGATCCAGTTCAATCCTCTCAAATTAAAACTCAGTCTAGCCTAATCAGTTAATAACTGTAATGTTTTTAACTCCATAGTCCCTAATAAACCGGAGACACTCCTTCAAACACACTGAAATCTATGAATTACAGACCTTCTCCTATGTCCCCATCTAACCCCAACATATGACTATAATAGTTTTACATAAATTGACATCTAGATAAACTGAGGTCTTCATTATCAGAAGATAACTGGTAAAGGATAACAGCAATTGAAATGTACTTTTCTTAAAACAGGTACCAACATTTCATTGTACAAGGTTAAAAAAGGTTGAGGATTTATCTAAAATGAACAACTAAAAATCATGAAAATAAGCCTTTCTTACATTTTTTTAACTATATGCAAATTCTTAGAACAAGAATAAATTAAATGTTTGGGGGTTTTGCATAATCTTTCCAATGAAATTATGACAGCAGAATATTGCATCCTTACTTCATACTTGAGTTTTGTACTAAAATCAAAGAGGGTCATTTCCCACAGACAGCAGAGTGGTGATACCCAGAGAGGAAGGAGGGTGGGAAAGTGAAGGTGGACAAAGGGTGAAATGGAGACGGAAGGGGATTTTGCTTGGCGTGATGGGTGCACGATGGACTGTGCACATGATGCTTTATTGAGTTGTACACTTAAAATCTGTATGGTTTTGCAAACCAGTGTCATTCCAGTAAATTCACTAAAAATTAAGAAAAAAAGAGGGTCATCTTCTGTATAATATTCAAGTGCTTTATTTTCCCAAGGGCTGTGAGATACTCACATAATTTTTTGAAGTATCTATCATGTCATCATTTCTATCATTTTCCTTTTTCTAATTGATGACTAGTCTAACTCCTCATTTTCCAATAATTTCATATGTAATTGATCAATTCTATAACATTACTCTCAGTGATTTGTGAAATTCTACATCCTTCACAAGATTAGAAATTTCATGTTCCCAGGGATAGGCACTGCATTTTTAGTACATTGTTTGAAATATAACAATCAGGAAGAGACCAACAAAGACAGTGGGAGGGAAAAGTAGATTCTGGGATATTTAAATGGGTACTAGTTTTTTTAATTGCTGTATCACTAACTATTCTTTTAAGTTCATTTTCCCCTGTAACTGTATAACTGGGGGGGAGCCTGATTATTAAATGGATTCAAATCTACATACAGAGTCCTCATGAGTGATAAGTAAGCCTGTATAATGGGCTTAAGCATTTAAATTACATACTTTCCCTAAATATGAAGCAACAGAAAATACTCTCCACATCAACATTTTTATTTTACAAAATAAGCAAATGTCAAAACTATGAAATGAACTCGGAGACATTAATAAGTATGTACAAAATGACTATCTAGAACCAAACCAGGAAGTGCATGCCCACCTCTCTGAACGGTACAGTGACGTGGTCTAATGGAACTGAGCATGAATTCCAGCCTTACTGCTTATACATAAGACCTGGGCAAGTCTCTTTATCTGACTTAAAACTGGTATGATATCTGTCTCACATCATTCCTTAAAACTGGTATGATATCTGTCTCACATCAGGATACAGTGAGGATTAAACAAAATAATGTATGAAAAGTGTTTCACGAAAGGTTTGGCACACGTAAGCAATCAAAAAATGGAAGTTAGCATTATTAAGTAACGCACTTAAGCTCACACAGGGACTCCTCAGATCTTTACTCAAAACTCTTAATTTATATGTACTTCTAAAAATGCTTCAGAATCTGCTTCTCTAACCAACAGATAAGAAGCAGATTCAAATTTGTAGGTGTAGGGTACTAGGTCAGGCACACGGAAAGCACAAATGAGAGCTGACCTTGATAAGGAACACAAATTCTAGTAACAGATTAGTCAGAGATCATTTTGAGTAGGGGCAAACAACTTGATATGTCTTTTCTTTTTGACGTAACAAATTTTTAAATTGTAAAATATTAGAGACATAGAGAAAATTATCAAGAATATAACAAACACCTGTGATACCCACCACCCAGCTTTATCAAATTTTAACATTTTGTATCATTCAGATTTTTTAAAACATTACAAACACAGTTGAAGTACCCTGTATATCCCTCCCCAATCCCATTCCCCTCCCTCCCTCTCC